AAGCTGTAACTTGCTGTTTGATGGTGAAGGTCAGAAACGAACTGGCCTAGAGAGTTTTGTAAGATGATGAAGAAGAGGAGCAGGAGGAGAAAAGCAGCAGCAATCAGAATCTGAAGTAGAAAGGACACCGAGCATTTTCCTAAGACATACTCCAATATGTCAGCTGAGGAGGAAGCCCGCTTCAGTGGTGGCTACAGATCGTAATGCAGGAGCAGGGCACTATGGGACAATCGGGACCTTCATCATAAAGGAAGGCACCAGGACAAAGCTGAGAAGCCAGGCTTTGGACTTGGGGCTAGATCGTGGCTCTCTGGGAATAGAAGGTGCAGGTGGAAGGTTACCAAAGCCCCCCTCCCCCTTCACCATCAAAAGGAGAGGCTAAATTATGACAGCTTTATACAATGGGATGGGACACTCTGCGGTCATCAAAAAGACCAAGGTAGACCATTACATGGGATTTAGTCCAATCAGCAGAAAGGCCCCGGCCTGCACCAAGTGTGAGGGCTTCACCGAAGGGCTTCTTGCAAGGCCTGAGGTGGGGAAATGCTGAGGGAAGGCCATTCTAGCTTGGGCCACGGGCTGCCTTTAGGCAACAAGAAAGAAAGAAAACCTGAAATTTCAAGCTTTTTTTCTTTCTCTCTCTTCTTTTCTTCCTTTCTGTCTTCCTCCCTTCCTTCTTTTTTTCTTTCCTTCTTTTTTCCCCCCCACAATATTTTGTGAAGGACTGAGTGTAGTGGCCCAAGCATAAAGTTTCAGTGCTTTGGAAGCTGAGGCAGGAAACTCCAAGTTCCAGATCAGCCTGTCACATGGTCATGTGATGAGACCTTGCCTCACAAAACAAAAACCCATGAGCACCACCAATGAGAAGCTTTGTGAACGGTTACAGTGGAACTGAGGCTGAAGCAGAACTGACTGGGAGAGGGGAACCCCTTCAGGTGACCACAAGGTCAATGGAGCTTTCTGAGACATGCGGAGTTTTGTGTTTTGATTTGGAGAACACATCAAGCTACTCCACCTTAACATGGGGTTCCATCTGTGGAGCAGAAGGCAGCAAAGAGAAAGTCGGTCCAGACGCTGCAGCCTCTGGCTCTCTCCTCTTCTGCACAGTGGTCCAGACGCTGCAGCCTCTGGCTCTCTCCTCTTCTGCACAGTGGTCCAGACGCTGCAGCCTCTGGCTCTCTCCTCTTCTGCACAGCGGCCACAGGAACGCAACAGTGTGACATTATGGTAGCATGATGCAAAGTTCCTAAAAATGCAAACCCCACATCTCAGCAGTCATGTGCTTGATGAGGCTGATGAAGAAAAAAGTGTGTGTGTCTGAGTGTGTGGTCCAAAACATGCACTCTGAAACTCTGTTTGTAAGTTGCTACAAAGCCTGTCTGTCAAAAGAGGAGAGGCTAAATTATGACAGTTTCATTCAGTGGGAATGAATGTCCTTTGCTCTCGGCAGTGTCTATGTGGAAAGAAAACCCCTTTGGTTTCTCTGAGTTCCTTCTTGCTCAATGGCTGGTTCAAGTCTTCCACCTGCCCCAAGGCAGTCGTGTTGCACCCCAGGCTCCAAGTGATCTGTCAGTTTCGAAGCATTCCAGAAATGACTGCCATTGCTTTTGGTCTTTAATGACATGCCTGTGATATCCTTCTAGACTCTCACTGAAAAGGCAGATTCTTAAAAAGCAGGGATGAGCTTTTGATCTCTGCGCTTTTGCTGAAGGCCAGCAGGTGAAGAGATTTCTCAGGCTTCTCTGGAAAAGGACACCGTTTTTTTCCTGTCTCTTGTGCTCCAGGTCATTTGGAGGTGGACAGTGTCCAGCGGAACGGCTTGTGGTATGTTCATAAAGCTGTTGAATGACGATGACAAGAGTATTCCCTTGAAATTATGTACTTGTCTGTAGCGCTTAAAACTATTACTGCATGGCCTGGAGAGGTATGGCAAAGGCTCGTATGCTCTTGCAGATGGCCTGAGTTCAGTTCCCAGTCTCCTATTACTCCAGTTACAGGAGGACCTGATGCCCTCTTCTGGCCACTTTAGGCACTGCACATGCAAGGTGCACATACAGAGAAACACACACATACACACAGAGACAAACACACACATACACACACATACAGATAAAGATAAAATATAAAAAATAAGAATACAATCATCATTATAGACCTAAGTTATTAAATAAATATGCAAAGAGCTAAGTCCAGTCAAACTTGATTTTGTTAAAGCAATTAAAATATAATTGCCAGAAAAAAATGCAGTCAAATGTGAAATTCAGAAAAAAGACAAATAGTTTGCTAGGTTAAAAACGCCCTGAATAATGCAGAGAATTTAAACTAAAAACTATCCATTATCCTCTGAGATGCACATTGAACCTGTATTTTCTAAGTGATGGCCGGGGGAGAAGGGTTGGATCTGGTGGAGTGCACACAGCACAGAAACATCAGAGTGACCCCCAGTTATTTTGCACAATTAATGTGTGTTCATTGAAAACGTCTCATGAATAGCCCCGGCGAGACTGGACTGGCCACAGTCATTGACTTCTGAGCATTTACTGGGGAGAAGAGGGCACATTCACAGTGGACCTACACACAAATGTTCACAGAGGGCTGGGGAGAGACTGGGGAAAGCATTTTCCTCGCAAGCACAAGGACTTTGAAGTTCAATCTCATGGGAAAATGCCAGGCTTGCTGGAACCCCAGTGTGGGGAGGCAGCGACAGGAGGATCCCGAGGTTCTCTGGGATCTCTGGCCTGAATGTTGAGCTTCAGCCCAATGAGAGACTTTGTGTTGCCAAAGTTCCTTCCCCTGGTGAACAATACATACCCAACCTCCACGGTTCCAACACCATAGCTCACGGGGAGAGGGAAACCAGTTTATTAGGCTTACTTACAGGGCAATGGGTGAGGGGTTTCCAGGCAGGAGGATGGGTGACTTTGGTCACCCTAGAAGGTCTGTAGCCAGCAGAGAAGGTGGCTTCCTCATGGCTGCGCGGACGGGAGCCCTCCTACATCTCTATCGTCTGTCCCCTCCCAGAGGCCCTGAGGCTACCTACAATTACGGAAGACTTGCATCCAACACGTTGGATGGAGTGGTTAGCTACTCCGGGTCCCATGATCTCCCCACAAGGACGAAAGGTCAAAGGTCAGCAAGCCCAGCTGAGGTGATGGTTGGTGAGCAGGCTCAGCTGGACTTCTGAAGATGGCTGCAGTTGGCCTCGGAGGACAGTTCTGTACAACACCTTGTCTCCAAGGTTTACCGAGGACAACACTTCAGACTTCGGTCTCCACCTACACACCCAAGCACATATGTGCACCTGCACATATATGAACATGCACTCTCCCTCCCACACAAAAGTAGGAAGAATGTGTCAGCAAATGAATGAATAAAACTGTGCTCTCCAAACAAAGGGATGCAGACCGCTAAGCTTGGAATAGCGAGTATGAATCTCGCGTACTACTCTGAGGGAAAGAAGTAGGCAGGAAAAGAGGATGTCTTGACAAGCAGCAGATCTACAGGGAGGCAGGCCAGTTCTGACACGGGACTGCTGGCAAAAGGGCGGGAGAGCCTTCTGAGGTGCACTGTGCTCTCTTGTGTGCCGTGTTCACACAGGTCTATCCAGGTGTCAGAAGCACAGAGCCCACTGGACTGCATTTCACTGCACGTGGATTCAATGTTGCAACAACAGCAACACAAAAGAGAAGCCACGCCGTGCCCCGGCTGCAGTGTTTAGAGGTACAGCAGAATGTTCTTGGTTTGGCAATGAAGCTGACAATCTCCAGACCAGGGCTGTATATTTCTGTTCTCTTACGGTGAACATTTGGGCTATTTCTTCGAATAAAGATGTTTCTTTCCCTCTCTTTTAGATGCAGTCATATTTGTCTAGGATTGATTGGTTTTAAGTCTGGATCCCACAAAATCTACATTTATTCCCTAAGAAGAATGAGGGAAAGCCACTTTCAGTGGGAACTCTCCTTTCAACCAACAAACTACTAATTGTCCTCTCTGGGCCAGGCTTTATGCCAGGTTGCGGTCAGATGTAATGGGAATGCCTGGGAGGCTGACCACTGACTGGGAGCTGAGGGGAAGAGATAGGTCAGACATTATATAAATGCTCAAACATATGAACATCATGAGTGTAAAAGGCACACATTTGTAGGGAAACTTGAACTGCCTCTCTTGCTCCCCCACTCCCCAAAGGATGCTCTGTGGTCACTTAACGCTGGCCTCTGGACCAGGTTGAGTTCTGAAGCAACTCCTAGCCACAGCCACAGGCAAATCCTGGGCCGAGCACCATCTTAGCAAATGTTTCAGCGGCATTTTCCAAAGTCACATCCTGTAAAGCTTCAAGAAAACTGGTCCCCAGCTCCAGCACTGAGGTTCATGTCTATGTGGGGGGCAGCCAGAGGGGGTGATAGTAAGGACAAAAGGGGAGAGGAACCAGTTGGGGCACTGGAGGGGCTGGGGAGGACACAGGAGCTACTGTAAAGAGGGGGTTTCGCTCTCACTTTGTGAATCTGTGAGTCAGTGAGCGACCACACCGACGTCCACACCCATGTCTGCATCTGTTTATTAGAATATGCTGAAACCCGGGGCTGGGGAGATGGCTTAGAGGCCGGCAGAACTGTTTCCCATCGCAGAGGACGGGTTCCCAGCACTCACACGGTGGCTCACAAGCATCCACAGCTCTGGCACCAAGGGATCTGATGCCCTCTTCTGACTTCTGAGGCCATGAGGCATGCACAAGTGCACATCCATGCATGCAGAAAGAACACTCAAACACATAAGATTAAAAAAAAAAAGCCTAAACTTGGAAACAATTCATTGTCTATCTAAAAACGAGTAGCTAAACAAAACTGTAGTCAACCCATAAAATGTGACTGCCAATGTAAAAAAAGAGCAAGCCACCGAGAGAGGAACACAGGTGACATTCAAAACAGCTACTCCAGGGGCTGGAGCTATGGCTCAGCAATTAAGAGCACCGACTGCTCTTCCTGAGGACCCATGTCCAATCCCCTACAGTCTATGGCAGCTTATAACCATCTGCAATAAAGTCCCAGTGGATCCGATGCCTTCTGGTCTCCTAGGGCACTGCATACACACAGCGCATAGCCTTATATGCAGGCAAAACACCTGTACATACAAAATAATAAAAAAATTAACAAATGGAGTTTGAGTGAAGGGTCAGCAGTCAGAACACTTGTTCTTGCAGAGGGCCTAGGACCGATTCCCAGTACTCACATGGCAGCTCACAGCCACCTCTAGCTCCGGTTGCTGGGGTGGGGGGGGGCGTGTGATGCCCTCTTCTGACTTCCATGGGCACCAAGCACACATTACACATGCATATGTGGTGAAAAATACATATGGATGTATATATCAGTACACATAAATATAGGCAGGTAAAACACAAAAAGTAAATTTAATAAAAAGTATCAGCGAAACAGACTCCATGAGAAAGTGTGACAACCATGGCTGCTGTTTCCTTATATTGGGGTGCTGGGAAAAGCTGCCTCGTCGCTGGTGTCAGACTAGTCAGCAGCCACCCAGGCTGCAGGGCTCCAGGGGACACACTGGAGATAGAGATATGCTGGCTCTGGTGGGGTTTCACTCGTGACAAGTGTGAGCCTTGACAGAAGCAGAACAAAGGTACGCTCTGGACCACGAGACTGGCACTGGTCTCTTCTGGAAGGAGATCCTGCAGCCTGAGTGGACATTTTGTGGGAGGCTTGGGAAGAGGGACTGCCGCTGACAGGTGTGAGCATGGGTGAGGACCAGCCTGGAGATGGCGGGGCTGGGCAAGCACTGAGACTGGAGCAGGAGGTGGCAAGACCATGGGTGGGGTCTCTACCCAAAGAAATACCTGAGGCCAGGCGGCAGAATCATCCCGGCAGTCTTTCTCCCCTCCTGAGTTTTCCTCCCTGTGACAGTTTATTTCCATCTTAGCTTTGGCTAGTTAGAAGCTCTGTGGCCACTTAGAAAGCTGGAGTTCTAGAGCCAAGGCCGACCGTCTTCCCTATCACCCAGTGGCATAAGGTGGTGCTTCTCCCTGTAAAGTTTCCCTTCCCTGGCCTGTCTTGTGAAATTCATCTCTGGGCTGGTGCTGGGCTTGTAGGTTCAGTAGCATCAAACACCATAAAACTGGCCCGGAGAGCAGAGGCGACTCTGGGCGTTGGCAGTGCTGTCTGGCAGGGTTCCTCTCTAGTTCTGAGGTGCCCAGAGCAGCACCCACGCAGTGCTGGCTACCTCGTGACTGCTTCACAGCTTCCAGTTTTCAGGCCATCCTGGTGGGGAGGGAGTGGCAGGGCAGCTCACACCTTTGACAGCTGGGAGGGAGGGAGGGAGGGAAAGGAGAGAAGGTGGGCAGAGGGAGAGAGACAGAGACATAGAACACAGCACTCTTTCTCCCTTTCCCCTCATACCCTGACCCCCCACCTTAGTTAATTCTCTCTTGAAAACGCCCTTCAGCACACCCAGAAGGACACTTTATTAATTTAGGTGTCTTTCTCTTTGGTTCTTTTTTTTTCTTTTTTTCTTTTCTCTTCTCTTCTTCTCTTTTCTTTTCTGTAGTAGGAGCTGCGGGTTGCATTCCGCCACCCAGCTCCTGCCACCGGCTAGCTTTACACCTGAAATAACAACACACAAACTGTATTCATTTAAACACTGCTTGACCCATTATATCTAGCCTCTTCTCGGCTAACTCTCGCACCTGGATTAGCCCATTTCTAATAATGTGTATAGCACCCCAAGGTGCGCTTACCAGGAAGATTCTAGCCTATGTCCATCCTGGGTCGGAGCTTCGTCGCGTGTGCCTCTGAGAGGAGCTGCATGATTTCTGAGCTCACTTCTCTTCCTCCCAGCATTCTGTTCTGTTTATTCTACCTATCTAAATTTTAACCTATCAGGGCCAAGGCAGTTTCTTTATTTAACCAATGACCTTCCTCCATCACTTTTCTTTTTTCTTTTCTTTTCTTATCTTTTCTTTTCTTTTCTTTCCCTTTCCTTTCTCTTTTGGAGACAGGGTTTCTCTAACTGTCCTGGAACTCACTCTGTAGACCAGGCTGGCCTCAAAGTCACAGAGATCTGGCTGCCTCTGCCTCCCGCAAGCTGGGATTAAAGGCGTGCGCCACCACCGCCAGGCTTCTAGAAGTTTTCAGTAACATTAACCATCACACTGGTTCTGGGGGCTCCTTGAGTCTTAAAAGAAACATGGCGGCAGGTATGTGGCACACTCTTTAAATCCACTACTCTTGGGAGGCAGAGGCAAACACAACTGTGAGTTTGAGGCCAGCCTCTACATAGTTGAGTTCCAGGGCAGCCAAAAGCTACACAGCGACATTTTGTGTCAAAACAAATAATTAACAAAAATAAACATGGCGGATCAAACCCTATACTTAAGAAGAAACATGGTGAATCATGCCCTAGACTAGCTGCTTCCACCATAGCTGACTGAATACGAGAGAAACAACTTAAGGAGGCTGTTTTGGCTCCTGGTTTCAGCTCCTGGCAGGAAGGGCCCAGAACAGCCATTCACACGGTGGCAGTCAATAAGCACAGGCCCGCCCCCACTACTGGCTTCCTCCAGATAGACCCTGCTGCCTCAAGTTTCCACAACCTCCCACAACAGCACCACCAGCTGGAACTAGACTTCCCAGACAGGAGCCTGGAGGGCACGTTTATGCAGAACCCCGGACAACCCTGCCTGAATACATTAGCTACAGCAAAGCCATTGGTCTTGCTCTTCTCTTGATTTCCTCAGTATCGTGAGGAAGCAGGGTGCTCACGGCTTCCTACTCAGCACTTTCAGTTATGCTTGCTATGTCCTAGAATCTGCCTCGCGAGTATTGTCAGCCTATAACTGGGGGTACGGTTGCATCAGTTAGCAATGGGCAACAGCCATATAAATCTGTATGTTACTAATGTAGAAAGTTCAAGTTGTTTTGTAAATAATAATATACAAAATAGTATGATACCATTGCTCATTATTATAGGTAATAGGCTATATATAAAGAAGTAGCATTGGAGTGATGGATATATGGTGGTTTGAAGAATGCCCCTCACAGGCTCAGAATGTTTGAATGCGTGGTCCCCAGTTCGTGGAACTGTTTGAGGATTAGAAGGATTGAGGTGTGGCCTTGCTGGAGGAAGTATGTCACTGTAGGTGAACTTTGAGGTTTCAAAGCCCAGGCCATGCTCAGTCTCTCTCCTCTCTCTCTCTCTCTCTCTTTCCCTCTCTCCCTCCCTCCCTCCCTCCCTCCCTCCCTCCCTTCCTCCCTCCCTCTCTGCCTATGGGTCAAGATGTATGTAGTTCTCAGCTACTTCTCTAGCAACAACGCTGCCTGTCGCCAGATTCCCTGCCATGCTCATAATGCACCAATCCTCTGAAACTGTAAGCCACGCCCAGTTAAGTGCTTTTTTTTTAATATTTATTTATTTATTATGTATACAATATTCTGTCTGTGTATATGTCTGCAGGCCAGAAGAGGACACTAGACCTCATTACAGATGGTTGTGAGCCACCATGTGGTTGCCGGGAATTGAACTCAGGACCTTTGGAAGAGCAGGCATCGCTCTTAACCACTGAGCCATCTCTCTAGCCCAGTTAAGTGCTTTTTTATTGAGTTGCCCTGGTCATGGTGTCTCTTCACAGCAACAGAACCGTAACTAAGACAGTGTTATCAGACCATGTTGGCTGGGCATTGTGGCAATGCTTGAGCCTCAATACTTGGGAGGTAGAGATGTGAGGATTGCAGGTTCAAAGGTCAGCATGAGACACAGAGATTCTACCTCAAAACAAAATGAAACACTGAAGACAATGTCAGCCAGGAGGGTAGGGGATGTCACTTCCCTGTGAGTTCCTGCCTGTCAGTTTCTCTGTAAGGACTGTGTTATTTTCCTCAATAATGGAATTTGGAGCGTAATTTTTTTGTCAGTATAAAAAGTTCCTTTATTTATATACATTTAAGTTTTTAACTGCAAATCCATCTTGCTCATCTCATGTAAGGTCCATTAAGTGATGGAGCATAAATTTTTATGCTGGACCCTTGTATTGTTTCAAATTTAACTTTCTGATGAATCACAGACATGGATGCTGTTGACTCTGGATAAGATGTAGAAATGAGGTCCTGCCCAGATCACCAAAGAAGCAGGATGTGACCTGCCCCACTGAAAAAGGTACTGAGCCATGTGGCTAACATAGATAAGAATAATGGGTTAATATAAGCTACAAGAGCTAATACGAAGCCTGAGCCAATGGGCCAGTTTATAATCTTATGGAGACCTCTGTGTGATTTTCTTTGGGACTTGGCGGCTGTGGGATACTGGGCAGGACAGAAACCCTAACAAGCAGGCCCCTCATGTTACAGAATGGCGCCCAACATGGATAACTGCATCCACAGAAAGCCTGAGAAAGCTTGGAAAGGAATAGAGTAAAGCATGTTTCCTTGGTAGCAGCAATTTCTCGGGTCTGCTCTGCTTGCTAGAGGCAAGCAAACCTCTCATCTAAGAGAGGCTTCCTGACTCAGCTTTAGCTGTAAAACTTTGCAGCTCTTTTAAGAGGTCCTGCCATGAACACTTAAATAGTATTAATGAAAAGCTGACTGCATGCTTTTCAGTTTTCAGCCATAGCAGGAAAAAAAAGCTGCACTGTTTTAAAATGTCGGCTTTCTGGGCTGTACGGCCAGGAAAAACTCTCTTTCAGGCAGGCGGTGCGATTATGGAGCACTTGAGTGTGGTTTGTGAGCACACTGTTGCAGCTTGCTTGCTGGCAAGGACCTTGAAATGCCATAGAGTTGTGACAATAAACATGGCTCCAACTGGTATCTCCGCCATGAGGCTGGAATCACAGAAAGCTAAGGAATGGGCTGGATCCAGCTGTCAAAGCCATGGCTTTAATCCTACCCATATTGCTTGGTAAATTAAAGACTCATGTGGTCAGAAAAAGAGAGATAGAGTTAAGAGAGATTCAAAGATGAAGAAAACCTCTAAATGATTTATAGTGTGTTAAAAATATATGCAGGCTTGAAAAAAAAAAGGTTAAAGTCCTTAAAATAAAAAGGAGAGTAGTTGGGTGTGGTGCTACACACCTTTAATCCCAATGCCTGGGAGGCAGAGGTAGATTGATCTCTGTGAGTTCAAGGTGTGATAGCACACACCTTTAATCCCAATGCCTGGGAGGCAGAGGCAGACAGATCTCTGTGAGTTCAAGGTGTGATAACACACACCTTTAATCCCAGCACTGGGGAGGCAGAGGCAGGTGGATCTCTGTGAGTTCAAAGACAGCCTGGTCTACAGAGGGAGTTCCAGGACAGCCAAACATATACAGAGGACCTATCGAAAAAAGTAAAAGTAAAAATAAAAGAAATAGAGGTTAAAGTAAAGCCACATAAAGATGGAAAATACACAGAAAATCTGGATACTGTATATAATTATGCTCTCTTTGAATTGTTTGAATGCTGAGGAAGGAACAACAGCTGCCAAAAGATACTTGCTTATAAATGCTGCTGAATTAATCCCAGATAGGTATTTTGAAAATACCTTGACTTCAGAACTGAAGTCAAAAGGTATGTTACTTTGGAGAAGAGATTTTGCTTTTGTTTCCACAGGAAATGAGAGGCTGTGGATTTATTTTTTTTAACATTTATTTATTTGTTATGTATACAATATTCTGTCTGTGTGTATGCCTGCAGGCCAGAAGAGGGCACCAGACCCCATTACAGATGGCTGTGAGCCACCATGTGGTTGCTGGGAATTGAACTCAGGACCTTTGGAAGAGCAGGCAATGCTCTTAACCTCTGAGCCATTTCTCCAGCCCCATGTGGATTTATTCTGAATTAAGAAAAATTAAGTTTGATCAAGGAAGACCACTTGAGAAATCTCCGGTAGAAACAGATGGCCCAGATGTCAGAGTTCTACACCCAGAACAGGTTCAAGACTGCCTGAGATGATCAAGCCTCACAGGATACTCCAGTCAGGACTTGATCATAATTCTAAATTTTCTTTAGGTCCCCGTAAGATTATCAGCACCCCCAACCAGCAGGAAGTAGCCTGGAATACTGCGCCCACATTCCCAAAAAATGGACTATGGATATTTTCCTTTGTTAAAAAATAAAAGAGGGGAAAGTGGTGTGGGAGAATAAGAATTGTCTATATTCTGTCAATCATGTTTTAAATAAATGCTGATTGGCCAGGCAGGAAGTATAGGTGGGTCAGCCAGACAGGAAGTAGAGGCGGGGCAATAACAGGAGAATTGTAGGAAGGAGGAAGCTCATTTCTCCCAGTCCTGCCCAGACCACTGAAGAAGGTACTGAGCCATGTGGCTAACATAGATAAGAATAATGGGTTAATATAAGCTACAAGAACTAATACAAAGACTGAGCTAATCAGTTTATAATCTTAAGAAAAAAAAAAGATATAGACATGAGCTCGCACCATGTCACCCAGCTGGTCTAAAGACAAAATAAAGATGACTCACCTCAAACCCAGTCTTCACACGTACAAGTGTCCCTTTGTTTAGAAGCTGGCTCTGAGACGTGGAGTAGTTACATGGCCCAGCGCTGGCCTCCAGCCAGCATCACACCAAAGACACACTCACCCTGCTGTGTGAGCTCCCTGCGCCCATGACTCCACTCAATCTTTGGCATTCTCATGTTCTCCTTCCTCTGCATGGACGGGCAGGAGGACTTGGTCCTCATCTGAGAGCAAGTGAAAAGGATGAAGCTTTGGGAGCAGACTGAAGAGTTCCGTATCTCCTGGGAGCACTTCCTTCACCTTGTATCTCAGGACACTGAGCTTCACTAATTACACAGTTCTACTGAAGTGAATGTTCATAAGAGGAAACCCGTAAAACACATCCCTAAGGCAAGGCGTGCAGAAAATACTGACAAAAAAGAGGAAGTCCTCATGACCCAGATGCAACCACCATGGTGGTGACAAGGCAAGGCTTCTAGGCCAGGTGTCAGAATCCAATTCAGCCTCTTATTAGTTGATTGGTCTCAGATGGGCATTTAACATCTCCAGATCTTGGTATTTTCATTTAGAAAATGAAGATCATGGTTCCAGCACCTAGATCATAGGCAAGATGAAATTAGCCCATATATGTAATAGGACACTGCCTGTCACCTAGCTAGAGCACGCTAAAACTTGAGTCAGCACTGACTTTTAGCCCCTCCCTCAGATATACATAGGATCTCCTCTAAATTGGATCACACTATACATGTTAGTTAGTAGAAAACCTTTTTAGGCTGATTAGAATCTTCCCAATTATTTTATTCTACAGGCCACTTGAAAAGGCTGTATTCCAATACACAAACTACCACAGCTAACCACTGATGTTTAAACAGAACCATCACTCTTGGGTGTGGCTAGTAATGTGTCTTTTAAAGCCAGGAGTTTATTCTGAGGCCATGCTGTCCTGGAACTATGATCTCAAACTCAAAACAACCCTTTGCCTCTTGAGCGCTGGAATTGTGGATCACATCTGGTTTATATACCTTTTAAATCTGTGCTTTTTTGGTGGCCAGATGTCTTGTGTGCTAAGAACTACTGAGGTACAGCAGCCCTTACACAGCTCACTGGAGGCCCAGCTCACGCTCTCCTAGCAAGTTCTCAGGGCACACTTCACCTGCAATGATGTGGGAGTGTCATATATCAATCTGTTGATTTCATTGGTTAAGTAATAAACCAACTGCTTGGCCTCATAGCTTAGAACATAGGTGGGTGGAATAAACAGAATAGGATGCTGGGCGGAAGAGGAAGTGAGGTCAGACTCTGCTCTGCTTCCAGAGAGACCCGACAGCTCTGCTGGAGCGGAGACACCATACTCCGCTCTCCCGGGCAGATGCACGCAATGAAGCTCCTCCAACCCACGATGGACTTAGGCTAGAATCTTCCCGGTAAGCGCACCTTGGGGTGCTTACACGCATGATTAGAAATGGGCTAAATTAATATGTGAGAATTAGCCTAGAAGAGGCTAGATAGAAATGGGTCAAGCAGTTAAATGAATACAGTTGTTTGTGTGTTGTTATTTCGGGCATGAGCTAGCCAAGTGGCCGGGGTGTTGGGGACGCAGCCCCGCCGCTCATATTGCAACACTGCAATTCTACACTTGCTCTGGCCTGGCTGAGTAAGTTTGAAGAAGCTGTGAAGAGAGCAGGTTGTTGGGGGGGACTTTTCAGTTGCTCAGCTCCCCTAGAATTAATTGCTTCTTGATGGCAGATAACCACAGAGTGACACAAGCAAGCCCTTGCTGCATCTCTTTAGGGGTCATCAGGTCAGCTGCCTCTAGTCTTCTCATTCCTCACCAATGCCAGCGCACACGTATACAATTTGGTTCTACACTGTGGGCTTTGCTGCTTTTAATTTTAGTTTTTTAAAATAACTCATAGCATTTCTTGAGAACTCTGTACTATTTCATTATTTGGAGTCCCATTAAATGTACTTTTTTTGGGGGGGGGGTATGTGCAGGAGCACAGAAACAGACCAGCAATTAAAACAAACTCACAAGTCAAACAAGCCAAAATGCAGTTGGAGAGGCTTGTTTCCCAAACTCACCTAGGGGATTACCTGGAATACTCTATATTCCCAAGCCCAGGCCAATGGAAAGGCCCCATAGTCTGGATATATTATCTTGGTATAACAGATCTAAAGAAACCCAGTGTTTTGCATGTTTATGTACGTACATGTTTTCATGTGCAGGTGTCTATGCAAGGGTATACACATGCGTGTGGAGGCTAGAGGACCATCTCTGGCTTTGGTCCTCAGGTATCATTTACCTTGTTTCCTAAATGGGTAGCTTATTGGCCTGGAGCTCACTAAGTAGGTGAGTGCCTCCCTAGCCCCAGGATTACAAGTGAATACTGCTATGCCCAGCAGGTATATGGTTATCACGATCTGACGTACTTGAGACTAATGGGTCCTCCGTGTGTATCCTCAGAGCGTTAAAGAATACTGAGTTAACTGGAACCTAAGGGAGTCATTAACCCACTGTTAGGCTTAGAATGCACCCTCCCATCCCTATGCTGAAGCTTACGTCGCGGATGTGACTGTAATAAGGTGGGCCCTTAAGTGACTAAGTCATTAAGGCAGACCATTATGGATGGGTAGGGAACTCTTACAGAAGGCCTTAAGAGAACAGGCTCACTCTGCCACATTGAGGATGCAGCAAGCCACCTCTGAAGAACACACCAGGTATTCAGCAGACACTGAAATTATACTTTGGATTTCCAGTATATAGAACTCATGAGAAATAAATTTGTATTTGTAAATATCCCAAGCAACAGGAATGACTAAGCATTCATCTACAGGTAGGTCTCATGACTCTAAGGTTCATGGGGCAGAATTCTTAGAGTCTATTTTCTAGGAACACACAGACCAAAGGAGAAACAACTTATATTCTACTTACCAATTACCAAGGATAGTTCTAAACATCAAACATAAAAACAAATCCTGAGTATGGATTTGGTTTCACATGCTGAGGCCCTGAACGGGTTAGATGGGGGTCACACTGTTTAAAGTGGATCAGAATTTGGATCCTCTGGGAACTGAATTCTTTGAAAGCATGAATGAATACTTGGAGTGCTCATCTTTCACTAGGTAAGGCATTCACTTTTCTTGGTCTGATATATGTGTGTAAACGTGTGTGCACAGGTATGTGTGGTGTCAAAGGTTGGGGTTGGGTGTCTTCCTGTCATTCTCCACCCTTAGTTTCTTACAGAGTTTCTAGAAATCATTGATCCAGCTAGAATGGTTGGTCAGCAAGTTCTGGGCATCCACCTGTCTCTGCTCTTCCAGTGTTGGGGTGACAGATTTATGCACTGCCATACCTAATTGCTGGGTATCCAAACTCAGATTCTCACACGCATGCAGCAATTCCTTTACCCATTCAGCAATCTCGTCAGTACCTTCCACATATCCCCCTCCCATATTAAAAAATCAGGAGTTGAGACCAGAGATGGCTCAGAGGTTAAGAGCACTGAGTGCTATTCTAGAGGACCAGGGTCCTAGAACCTCCATGGTGGCTCACAATCTATAACTCCAGTTCCAGAAAATCTGACACCCTTTTCTGACCTTCATGGGCATCAGGTATGAAAGTAGTACACAGACACACATGCAGGCAAAAGACCCATACCATACACGCCATTAAAAAGAAAGTCAGGCCTGGGGATAGCTCAGTGACATGCACAAGACACTGTACCTGGGTCTCAGCTCCACTCTCCACATCCCTGCTAAAGGGATGGATCATAAATTGGAATAGAATGAGAAAATTACTTTATTCAGTACACTGTATTTTTTAGTTCCACTCATAATTACAGTACAAAAGATTTCCCTTGCTTATTGAGTTTTGGGCTGTGCTTTATTTAGCTAGGTTTATAAAAAATGTTAAACTTTAAAGTCCCTCAAATTACTAAAAGCTTACATTCCTCATAATTCAAGACAATCTTAAAAAGCATATTTAGGGATGGAGTGTGGCTCAGGTAGAACTTGCCTTGCATGTGTGAGGGCCCAGTGATCCCAAGCACTAAAAAAAAAAAAAAAAAAAAAAAACACACAAAACAACAACAAAAAAAACCATTTCTTTAAACACCATTCAGATCTTTTTCTTGGAGGGTTTCACACAGACCTGGCTGGTCACTTACTTACTCTGTGCAGTTCAGGCTGGCCCTGAGTTTGTGGCATCCCTTCTCTCAGTCTCCCAGACTATAGGCAAGCACCATATGCCTGGCTAAAGCCGTCTGTAGTTGAAAGTGCCCTTTATACAGTCAGAAGTTCCACAGGTGGTGGCTTCAGTGGGATTTTCCCCAGAGTAAATTTCTGGGACTGGAACTGGTCCAGCTCCTCTTTAGTCAGCTGATCCCTGGGTGTGAACAGTGCATTATTTGTGGCCGAGACGGGGAAGGAGGCTGATATGCTGCTACCTCCAAACAAGTCATTAGAAGGTTTGCCAAATACAGATTGAGACTGTGGGCCAGGACTACCAAAACCAGCCACAGAACTGCCACTTCCGAAGGCAGGGGCCACTGCAGGGCTGAAAGGACTCCCTGCCAAGGAAGCTGGAAACCCTGAAAATCCAGGTGATCCAAAACCGGAAGCATCAGGGCTCTTGAAGGAAAATGGAACAGCAGATGTGGCTTCAGGCTTCCCAAACCCAAAGGCTGGAGTGGAGGAAGCGATGGTAGAACCAGCAGAGGGCCCGGCCCCAAAGGCCGAGGGACTCCCAAACACAGGTGTGCTTCCAGAAGGGGCAGTGGCAAATCCAGAGTTCGTTTTAAAACTAAAGTTCTGAACATTACTGCTGCTGCTATTCACTGGAAAACCTACAAAAACAGATTACAGTCAGAAAATGTAGCATGTCACTCCTTTCTCTTATTCCAGGCACGTTTAACTACTAAAGAGTTTAGGGGACATGTAAAAACAAGGTTAGAGCAAATCGTCTGAACCCCACTGCCCCCGGCACTCAGCATCCATGAGCAGTGTGAGAGCAGGGTGGGAACTTTTGGCTTTATATACTTTCCACCAGAGTTGCGACTCACAGCCCTGCAATGACAAGGTTCTCAACGGCACGGCTGCCACAGCGGTCTAGTCCTGTCAGATCCCTGAGGCAGACTGGTCTTGTAATGAAGGTCAGGCTGGCCCTGAACTTTGGGGTTTTTGTTCTTCTTTGTTGTTATTATTGCCGTTTTTGATTTTTCGAGACAGGATTTCTCCGCATAACCCTAACTGTCCTGGAGTTAGCTCTGTAGACCAGGCTGTCCTCAAACTCAGACATCCGTCTGCCTCTGCCTCCTGAGTGCTGGGATAAAAGGTATTGCCCCCACCACCAGCATCCACAGCCTTGAACTTTTGATTCCTCACTTCAGCCTCTGAATGCCAGAATTACATGTATATCATCAGGTTCAGTTTCCTATGAAGCTGAAAAAATATTCCTAAAAAGGTTCTTCTAGAGCTGGGCATGGTGGCTTACATCGGTAATTCCAGTTCTCAGGGGGCAGAGGCAGGAGGATCACAAAGCCAATCTGGTTTACATAGTGAGTTCCAGGCCAGGGTGACACGGTGAGACCTTGTTTCAAAAACAGAAGCACTTCTACATGCTGAGCCACAGCGTCTTTCACAGTACACCTCCCTCTGACCGGCCTTTCCCAAGCATTTGTAAGTTCTTCAAGGCTCCATAATGGAGAAATGTGTGAGAATTATTTAAATTGGTGACTCAGGCTTTGTAAAGTTGAAATCTATTACCTGAGTGTTGGTGGCGCATGCCTTTAATTCCAGCACTTGGGAGGCAAAGGCAGGCGATCTCTGTGAGTTCGAGGTCAGCCTGGTCCACACAACGAATTCCAGGTCAGGCTCCAAAGCTACAGAGAAACTCTGTCTCGAAAAACAAAAACAAACAAAAAAAGTTGAGGCCTACAGTATCCCACTTTTCTGAGTCAGCAAAACATGTCTCATTCTGTCTCTTACCTGATGACCCAAACGTCCCTGCTTGCTTACTTCCAAACCCAAATGCAGGCGCTGCTTGACTGGCTCCACCCTTTACATCAGAGAGCTTAAAAAACAAACAAACAAACGAACAATACATTTCTTGATGAATAATTTCTAGGTATCATTGACATACATTACATTTAAAAATTTATAACTTAAATATGCATCTAAATAAAGGAAATAAAGGAAAGGGTGTAATACTCTATAAAATGTATAACCAACCAAAATGAATGTCTATAGAAAAACAGATAGAAGTGAGCAATGATTATCTCTGGCTGATGAATGATTTTCATTTTGTACTTGTTAAATTTCTAAAAGCAACATATATTACAATCAGAAAAGCATTTTTTTAAAAAATCAAGATACATCGTATCCATATGTAAAAATTTCAAGAATAAAATTACATTTTTAAAAAAGTACACTTCCAGTGTTTATAAGGTCAAACCTACATCTGTGAAGCACTCTAGATGCAGGTGAAAAGGCTGTCAGAGCATGTCCAGTCTACTCAAACGCTTCAACTCAAGTGAGGTCACATGTTATCAAAAGCTTACTACGAAACCCCAGCAGACTGTCCTACTCTGCAGACAGATGCCCCTTCAAGAAACCTTTCACTGACTCCTTTCCTCCAAATTGTTTTGAGACAGGGTCTCACTGTGTAGCTGACCTGGAACTCACTGTGTAGACTAGGCCTTGAGGTCACTGATATCCACCTGCCTCTAAGTGCTAGGATGAAAGCTGTGTACCACCATGCCTGGCTCCAAGACCTTCTTAAGCAGACCAAGCTGGCTGAGCTGCATTTCCTTGGAAGCAACTTAGACTCCTTTATCACATTAACCCGGAGCAGTGACTCTCAACCTTCCTAAAGCTGCCACCCTTTAATATATACAGTTCCTCATGTTGAAGGGACCCCGATCCTACAACTATTTCCGTTGTTATTTCAGAACTCTACTTTTACTACTGCTATGAATCATAATGTAAATATCTGATTTGCAGGATCTCTGATACACAGCATCTGTGAAAGGGTTATTTGACTCCAAGGGGGTCAAGACCAACAAGTTGAGAACCAATGCCAGATGCTTTGTTCTCACATATTTCAATGAATCCTGACACACTTATAATCAGTTACTATGACCCGTAGGAGCTAACTCCCTACACTCTTCCTGGGTAGATAACAACCCTTTCTTCACCTCTGGCCCCACACAATTGCTCATCTGCTCATCACTACATATGCCCCTTCCATAGTTTCATAAGATAGATTCTTACAGGTTTTTGTTGTTGTTCTTTCCTTGCTTCTCTTTCTTAGAGTAATAGTCACCAACAGGTAAATAGGTAAATGGCTAAACAAATTTGAGTATATCCATACTCATGATAAAAGAATGAACAATGATGAATATACTAAGTCAGCCCAGGATGGGTTCTCTCAGAGCAGCAGCAGAGTGACCCTTTCAATGTTAACAAAGAGCTGGAAACATTCATCTCAGGGATGAAACAGTTCCTTACACTCAGTTAGTATTGTGCTATGAGCTCTCATCAATGGCAATAGGGTCACGTCTCAGCTGGGGTCAGAACATGCCTAAATAACCCCATGAAGTTCAAATGGCATCATACAACTGCAAGGCAGCATAAACACATCTTTAAGTACTGGAATTTGTAATATTTCTCAGTTTTTTTTTTTTTTAAAGGAGCTCTGGTAAACTTTTATTAAAGGAAAACTTTTTACTTTTCACCAGTCTGTTCTGGCATGCTTCTAATAATGTCAGAATCACCTGGGTCAATGATGGCCAGTGTGCATACTCTGTAGTATTTTCCACACGCTGTGCCCAACTCAATGTTATTGCCACTGTAGTGATGGACACCAGTTTTAGCCAACATGGCATAGTATTCTATTTCAGATTTCCTCAAGGCGGGGCAGTTATTGGCGAGGATCACCAATTTCGCTTTGCCCTGTCTGATCATCTTCAGAGTCTGTTTGTATCCCAGCACGTACTTCCCACTTTTCATAACAAGCTGGAGCTGAGAGTTGATCGACTCCAGAGACTTTTTCGTCTTCTTTGCTGCCACCATCTTCCTGCCTTAGGTGCGGGACGGCCCCCAACCAAGACCAGCCACCAAGATGGCCGGGGAGTGAGAAAGCAATATTTCTCAGTTTTTAAAACTAGTCCTACCCCAGTTAAAAACCTTACACTAAAAATAGGTTTGTTTGTTTGTTTGAGAAAGGGGTTCTCTGTAGCTTTGGAGCCTCTCCTGGAACTAGATCTTGTAGACCAGGTTGGCCTTGAACTCATGAAGATCGCCTGCCTGTCTCCTGAGTGCAGGGATTAAAGCTGTGCGCCACCACTGCCCAGCCTAAAAAATAGTTTTTACTTTTATTTATTTTGAGACAAGGTCTCTCTAAACAGGTCTGGCTGTCTTGGACTTCAGTATATAGATCAGATTGTCATCAAACTCCCAGAGATCTGCCAACTTCTGTCTTTCTAGTGCTGGAATCAAAGGAGTGTGTTACCATGTCTAACTAAGAGTTGTTTTTAGAAAGCATAATTGTCCCTACTTTTCTGAGAATGAAATATGTTTTAGGGCTTCAACTATAAATGACCATGGGTAGAGTTAATTCTCCACAGAGATTTTACCTTTCAAATTGAAGCATTCTCTGCCAAAAATCAGAGGGGACTGGAAAGATGGTTCATAGGTTAGGGACACTGACTGTTCTTCAAGAGGACCTGGGTTTGATTCCCAGAACCTACATGACAGTTCTCAACTGTTTGTAACTCCAATTCCAGGGGATCTGACACCCTCTTCTAACCTCTACTGGACCAGGCACATATGCGGTACACATATATGCAAGCAAAACATTCCTATACATAAATAAAAATTTAAAAAAAAATTAAAAAAGCAATAGAACCAGTGTACACCTTTAATCCCGGCACTCACGGGTAGGGCCGGGGATATCTACGAGTTCGAGGCTAATCTGGTCTACATATTGAGATCCAGGTCAGCCAGATGAGACCCTGTCTCAAGAAAGAAACAAAAAAGCAATAAAAAGTTAGGCATGGTGGAGAATGTCTATAATCCTAGAAAAAAAAAAAAAGCAACACCACAAAATGCAAAGATGAGTCACTTCTTTGAAGAAAATTCTTCAATACTTACCAGAGTTCCTTTGGTTGACATATTTAGATTTTTCAGTTCATTTATCCTATTCTTCCATTGACTTACTAGCTGTTGAACAGAATTTAGCTGAAGAGAGAAGACAAAAGGTAGCTCAATACTGAATACTTAACCCTTGCTCCTGCTTGCCAGAGACACTCCAGCTCTGTTCTCTAGCTCGCTATCTGGATAGGAGGAGATAATGTAAACTAGCATAGTCCTGGCTGTTGACAACAGAAACTACCATTTCCTTCAGGCACCAACTTGCTCTACTGACCACCCACTCAGACTGCTTTCTTCTGAGTGTCTGGTATTCAAAGGTGTTAATCTATTTAGCAGAACTGCCATTCATGTCACTTTGCCCTTCTAGTATTCATCACGGGATCTGCAGCTGACAGAAGCAACAGTATTTTTCTAAAGATAGATGGTTTGAGTTCTAGGACTGATTGGTGGGTAATTTATAATAAAATAATATCTCTAATCACTATAATATATTATTAACAATTTAGACAACTAGACAATTTCAAAGAAAATAGTCTAGAAAAATTAAAAAAGGCAGTGGCCTATAAAGAATTAACAGTTCTCACCAAATGTGCCCAAACACAAGCAAGCCACTACAAACACAGAAAACAGTAATTGACAGCCAAGTGCTACCGAGGTAGAGAAATAGGAAACAAACTTACATAGCTCTGTAAGTTATTGCTGGTTAAGAAGTTATGGTATTCAAGCCTCAACTCTTCTGGTGAAATATCTGTGAAACCTGAAGTGAGGAATCAGGTGGGATTTAAACAGTGAGTATTGCTGATTCTGGTAGTAGGGCTGGTGTGCTAGACAAGAAAATGTGCTAATGCTGGTTATTATAGTCATAGAGAACACTCAAAGTCTATGTACTAATGCGTAAATTATTAAATTAGAATGAAATACAGCTATTTCATCTTCAAATGAAGAAGAATTCTGTAAAGATAAAGGACAAAAGGAAATGAAAGATCTGACTACATACACATTCAAACTCTAGTGTAAAAAATGTTGTTAAGTCTACAATAAACAGATTTAAAAGGAAAATGATAAATCAGGGAAACCATGACTGCATACAAGAGTTAACATCTTTTTAATTTTTTAAATTCACTTATTTATCAAGTATTCAGTGTTCTGTGTGTAAGTATCCCTGCAGGCCAGAAGAGGGCACCAGAACTGATTACAGACGGTTGTGAGTTACCATGTGGTTGCTGGGAATTGAGGTGGACAGTGTTCTTGAAGGAGAGTTATGCATTCTTATAAAACAGTTAGAGCTAAGCCCTGGGTGAAGAGAAGGTACCTGTTAGATGAGACTTGGGAAAATCATTCCTAGCAATTATGATAGCTAGTGCAAAGGCCTTGAGGTGAGAGCCATGAGCCCAAAATACTCAGGAAAGAAAATAACAGAAATAATATAGTATACAGCCAGGGTGGTAGCCAAGGTTCCCATGGTGTGGGCTCTAATTACATCGGGTGTACAGTTATGAAGACCTTAAGCAGAAGGATGTGGCTGATGAGGAAAAGTTTGGTGGTACAGCAGGGAGCAAGTCAAGAGGTAGGAGACAAGTTAGGAAGTAATTGCTGATGATGGGTTAGCGCTGTTGGCAGTGGAGACAGAATTGGTCCAATTTGAATTCTGTTTTGAACCAATTTTGATATTTTAGATAAAGAAAAGCAAATACAGTATGATTCATAAATGCTCTTTGTCCTGGACTGTTGGTGCTACAGGAGTAAACTGAACGGTACCTGGGTACCAAGGAAGTCTGTGGAAAATAGACATTTCCATTCTTAATCTTCTCAGTGCTGGGAATTGAACTCAGGACCTCTGGAAGATTTTCCATCTTTAACACAGTACAGAATACAGCAAAGACAGAAAGTATAAGCAGTTCACTAGAATTTGAAAAGGCTAGTAAATAAAAGAAAAATGCTACTTAGTGCTAAAATGCTCTCCTTACGGACTGGCAGACAGTAGAACAGATGATGGTTATTGTACTCAGTGTGTGGTAGTGGATGCTGTTCTGAACATACTGAGAGATTTTCTGGGGCAAACTGTCCATAAGCAATGTTTACAGACTCTGACCTACATTTCTAGGATTTATCCAGATACCTATAATTACACATGTATACAAACAAAGGGTGCTACACAAAAGGATGCTTACTCTAGTACTTTCATTGACAAATTAAAAGTAAAATACCATTAGGAAAGAAAGCTCAGTGGCAGAATGTTTGCCTGGCATGCCTGAGATCTTGAGGTCATGCTAAAAAAAAAAAAAGCAAGCACAAAGAAAACAAAACTAGCTGAAGATCACTTTATATAGAGAGGTATATAAATACAGAAATGATGTGGAGCATGGATGTTTTGCTTGCATGAATGCATTGCCCCATGTGTGTACCTGGTGTCAGATCCTCTGCAACTGGAGTTACAGACGGCTGTGAGCTGCCATTTGGATATTGGAAATTGATCCCCAGGTCTTCTGGAAGATCAGATGTGCTTTTAATATGCACAAATTTTAAAGGAAATACCAAAAAAATTTCAATCTCTCTATACTACCTAGTGTTTCTGTGACAGAAAGGTTTCTCATGATCCTAACTTTTCCTAGGAAATTCCAGTTTTATCATGAGCGGTAACCCTGTCATCCTCCCACCACCACCCTGCCCCTTGAGGTGACAGATTTATCTCATTCATTCTTGAGAAAATATCTGCCTAAGCCAAGTCTGAATCTGTGTGTGACAAAGTAAATGATAGCCCAGTGTTTCTCCTCACAGTGAACATCATACGTGGATAAAGGGAAAAGCATGGTGTATATGTACCTTCCATTTTTAACACTACAAATTTCAACAATGAAAGTAACCACCAGTGTCTTAGTATTATTATGAAAACTTTTATGAAAATATATAGTTCCTACAGATGTGTCAGGGTTAGGTTGGCAGATTTAAGTAACAGAAATCCAGGATATCTAGGTAAGTTGAAATTTCAGACATAAAACAAATATTAAGTATGTCCCAGATATTACACAGGATACACATATATTAAAAATATTCTTTACTTATCTGAAATTTAAATTTAATGGAATGTCCTATATCTTACATGGTAACCCCACCCTGAGCTCTCTATAGTCACAGTTGCAGGACATTAGGCTTTAAGTCCACCCCTGAACTGACTGAGACTTAATACTTGGCAATACTTAAATACTAAAATTTAAGCCATCCCAGGGCTTCCTAGTTTATTCTTTTATTTACAGAAACTATCACTACATTAAGTGATTTATGTTCACTGTTTCTCATTTTCTTTCCTCCAGAACAGTAGCTTCCCGAGAGGAACCCCGCCTGCTCACCTTACAATGTGCCCCTCACACGCAGATCAGGGAACCCCGTCTGCTCGCCTTATGATGTGCCCTTGCATGCACATCAGGAAGTAGGACAAATGAAACCCAGTAAACAATTTTTAAGTGAATAAGAAAGTAATTAAGGTGAGAATGAGGCGAGGGTGAGGTGCAGTGGCATTCCTAGGATTCTGGGACACTAACTTCAGGGGTTCCTGGCTATGTTATGTCTATTGTTTCCTCAACAGGAGAAAGACCCCGGATTTCCCAGAGCAGGCCTGGAAAAACCTCAGTAGCCCAAGTTTCAGAGAGGCTGTAGGTATCATGGAAAAAAAGAAAATGGAAAGAAAGGAATATTCTAAAGAAATACCACCCATGTAGCTCATCATCTTCAAACTATCCAGGAATGTCTCACAGGCTTTACGAAAAAAAAGAATTCTTGGAAGGGACAAAGAAGAAATGGAACCTGAAGGCTGTGATGGTGGGTAGCTCCTGACACTCCTGGTTGCTGAGGGAGCTAGGAGGTCCGGAGGTTTCACAGAGGGAACCAATACAGTAGAGCTTCTTCCTCGATTGAACTGTAATTGTGGTGGATCCTGATCTTATTCTTTCTTGAGAATAAGAAAACTGAAAAGAACTACATTCTCCCTCTCAGTCTCTCCACTATGAAGCTCAGTTGGAATACTTTAAACAATGACCAAATTCTAGCTTTTCCTAAGTTTGGAGTAAATTTATTTAGCACAGTCTTAGTCTTAGAAAGTAGTTACTCTGGAACCTATTTTAAAAACACATACAAGTCCTATAGTCTAGTGGTAGGACTTTTGCCTAGCTTGAATGAAGGCCAGAGTTCGATCCTCAGCACTCAACAAAAAGCAACCAACTACCGACTTAATCAAGGGTTTTCCAGTTACCTGAAATGTTAGGTTTCTTTTTCACTGGTGAGTAAACAGAGAACATCCACTGCCCCGATGATTCCCAAATCTCTACATCTTTAACAATCCCTTCCCTGAAAAAAGAAAAGAAACAAAAACGGAAGAGTAATGGGTATTCCAATTGCTGTTATTTGTTATTTATGAAGTGGAATGACTGAAAGTTTAAATTCTAGTAAATAAATATACAAACTTACATCTTTTCTATTCCAGAAGTTCACAGAAATACAAATCACAACCTGAGTGTGGTGAGCACAGCTGTAATTCCAGCTCCTGGGTGGCTGAGGATTTTGAGGCCAGTCAGGGGACTCACAGTGAACTTAAGGCTAATCTGGGCTGCACATGGAGAACTTGTTTCCCAAACAACAAACACCTTGTATTTTTAGTTACAAATAATCTAGAATAATTAATAGTGCTGGCTTTCTAATTCACAGAAAGACTAATCAATATTTAAGAATTATGTGAAATAGAATATTTTTTAAAGAACTAAAATACACAATATCAGAAATATTGTATTTTAAAGAATAAACGCAATAACACAATTGTTAACTGGGAACAACAAATAGTATTACTATTAGTTATGGAGAATCATTAAAATTTAAGAGTGGGTTATAGGACTTCAGAGACAGTTTTCTTAATTTTTCTACTTTGTAATACAGGAAACAGGTCCACACACTTTAAAAATATATTTTTAAAATATTTGTTTATTTTTAATTTTATGTGCATTTGTGTTTTGCCTGCCATGCATGTCTGTGTAAGGGTGTTGGATCCCCTGGACAGTTGTGAGCTACCATGTGGGTGCTGGGAATTGAACCCAGGTCCTCTGGAAGAAGAGCCAATAATGTCAACCTGTGAGGCGCTCTCCAGTCTCCAGGTCCATGCACTTAACAGTTAATCTGAAACAAACCTGTGGATACAACTGGCTTTAAATTAAAGTTTCTTTCCATCTAGAATGTGGCCATTAATAAACAGATAGGTATCAAAAAGAATGTTATTACACCTAGAATCACAATAAACAGAATTTTGCCTTCTTTATATATACACACACAAAATTGATGCTTGCCCAATACACCTGAAAACTCATGTTCAGTTTTCAGCACTTCAAAAACAAACAGCTGGGCACACACCTTTAATCCCAGCACTCTAGAGGCAGAGAGCTCCGTGAGTTCCAAGCCAATCAAGACTACACAGGGAGACCCTGTCTTAAAATCTTAAAACAAAACAGCTCCTGCTCCCCACCAAACAAACAAACAAAACTTAAAAATCCACTGTTTATGGAACTAAACTGTTTATGAAACTAGTTATAGGATAACTAAAATAAAAGTTTTACAAAGAAAAAGAAGTGCTATTATCAGTAATATTCAGGATCACAGTTGTTCTGAGTCACCCAGTACTCTAAAGAATGCACAGAACAATGACCTTGTAAGCAGGACTAACCTTTAAAGTGTGATCATATAGTTTTGCTTACTCTAATTTTCAAAATTACTCTTTTTCATAGAAATGACTAAGTGCTTCTGGAAAAAACAAGCAACTGGGCAGTGATTTTCTACAAAACTTTAACTTACAGCAGTTTCTTTTCATCTTTCTGCTCTTCAGAGATAAGTGAAGCAAAAGGATTTTGAGATGATCCAAAGCCTCTGCTGGTGGAAGCCCCAGAATCAAAAGAGCCAAATATTGGTTTGTCTTGATCTCTGCTGCCACCCCATGGTGTAGACTTGGAGAAACTGGATGGCTGGATGACACTGGAGTATCTCTGGCTGCTGGCATTCCACCCACCACGCCTGTTACTCCCTAAAATAATCAGGAAAATTAAAGAATCATAAAATTGGCAACTGTTTCAAATCTTGGAAATCCCCATTACATTTTATCTTATTATGTCTAGAAATCATGTAAAGGCTGCTACAGTGCTATTTTCTACCACTTTAAAATGTTAATCCCTTTATGATTTATAGTTTGTTATATGCTATAACTAATCACATAATGTTCTAATTGCATTTTAAAAATGAGATCAAGGTCAGGTGTGTTGTGTAAGACTTTAATCACAGCACTGTGAAGTCAGAGACAGGCAGACCTCCGTGAGTTCTAGACCAGCCAGAGCTACACAGTGAGACCCCATCTCAAATGAACAAAACAAAAACCCAAACAAACAACAACAAAAAATGAGACCAATGAGCCAGAGAGATGGCTCAGCAGTTAAGAGCACTGGCTGCTCTTCCAGAGGACCTGGGTTCATATCCCAGCACCACATAACAGCTCTCAACTAAAATACAGGTTCCAGGGAATCTGGCATCCACACAGATATATACACGTAGGCAAAACACCAATGCATATAAAAATTTTAAAAAAAGAGATCAAGAGGATTAGAAATAGATAGAAAAACAAAGATACACTGCTGAGTTCAGCTCTGATAAGCCTATTAAACTGCTTGGCCATTGTGGAATGAATGGAAGACACTCTAAAAGTACTGATCTTCAGTGGGCGAGCCTTTGCCCATCATGTTCAAGGCCTGTGCTTTGGCCTAGTGCTGGGTGAATGTGTATGTTCGGGAAAAGTTATGTTTTCATTAATTTGCTTCTTCACTGGGTCATATAGAGAGAATGAATGAAAGAGGACAATGAATAAACTAGACAATAAAAAGGACTGTCTGTCCTTAAATAGATATTTAAAGACCTCAATCTTCCCTCTGTGGACACAATACCTACATACCTACCTTCCATATGGAGACTACAGAGCTCACTAATGGGGGATAAAGTACAGGTAGATTTCTAAACTTCATGAATATAAAAAACAAGTCAAGGGAGCTGGAGAGATGGCTCAGAGGTTAAGAGCAATGACTCTTCTTCCAGAGGTCCTGAGTTCAATTCCCAGCAACCACATGGTGGTTCAAACCATCTCTAATAAGATCTGATGCCCTTTTCTGACCTGTAGGCATACACACAGACAGAACACTGTATACGTAATAAATAAATCTTTAAAAGAAAAAAAGTTACAAAAATGTGTCAATAGAATGTCTTTCCAGTTTTGAGATTGTTTTTAATTTTATCACTTCGTAGTTGAGGCTAGGAAGAAGGTAATTTATCTCATGACTGATTTGGAAAATATGTCGTTTAACATATACTAAAAACGTAACGACAGGTGTAGCCATATTCTAAACTACTCCACAAATCCAAAGAGAAATAGAAAATGGAAAAGACAGCTGAACCACATTTCTGAAGCAGGAATTAAGGGCATTTTGTTTTGAAGTGCCAAATCCTTTGTGTGTGTGTGGGGGGGGGTCACACCGCATAGAAATCAACTACTTTATACTGCACTGGATGGTCCTAATTTTTTTTTTTAACTCCACTGCATTTTTCCTTCTTTTCATCCTAAAGTTTTGTTTTTTGACCCAGTTCTCTATCTACTGAACGTTTACTTTCAAATTACTACATTTAAAGTGGGTTTCCAGAGACATGACAAGCATTACTCCCAGCAGTCCCTGGGAACACAGCAATATTTTATCAGAATTCGAGGCCTAGTTGGAGCGTTTCACTAGATCAATTGTAGATGAACGACACAATCTGTCTCCTCCACCATGTTACACAAAGGACTGGATGAACCTTAAAGACGAAGAAAAAGAAGCAGCGTTATTATTATAACGCTAAAAACTAGGTTCCAAACTAAGAAAATAAATTAATTTGACTTTTAAAACCTTGTGCTGCCCGACTGGTTTAATGCCTGGCCCCTGAATACTCTTTCCTCAAAACCTGTAAGGTTCTTAGCCCAGCGTCCCGCTCTACCAACTAAAGCCCAAACTTTAAATAAAGCGTGAGATCAAGGACAAGGCGGGGCAAAGTAGGGCAAGAGGTTAGGATGGACCCACGCCAATTCTCCCAACCGGTGGCATTCATCAACGAAGTGGCTTTAATAAAGTATACTTTTAGTTTTAAAACGCAGAGTTTGGTACCAGCACCCAGGTCCAAAGCCCAGTCCTAGTCTGATCAGCCAAACCGACAACCCTATAGGCGGGAAGCGTCACCTGAGGGCGGCGGCGGCTGCTGTGGTGGCGGCTGCCGGGCTCCGCCCGCACCCCGGGTGCCGGGATGCTCGTTCCAGCAGCGGTCTCCGAAGCGGCACCGGCCTTGAAGGAAAAACTGGCAAATGGTCATCGTAGCGCCGTCCCAGCCCGAGGTCTTCAGGTCAGCAAAGACGGCCCAGTTTCCAACAACCGAAGTCCCGTCGCTAGTGTGACGTCATCCCCCCGCGTCAAGAGGTTCTGCGTGCCGTCTTCAGGCGGTGGGCTTTAGCCAATGGGATTTGAGAAAAGCAGCCCAGCCCGCGCACGTGGGAAGATGTCCTGAGAAAGCGGGGCGTTGGACCTGGAACCCTCCCTGAATCTAGAGGGTGCTCGCTATAGCAGACAACCACCAAGGTTCTAGTAGGCTGTAGTTTTGCGAGGCTCAGTCGTTCATTACTTTTATTTAGACGAAAAAAATAAAAAGTAAAATCGGGCTCAAAAAGAAAACGATGCAGAAAGGCAGGAACCAGGAACCAGGACGCACTGCAGGCGAAAAGTATCACAATATTTCCTTAGTTGGTACTGTCTTCCTGCACACTGAGAAATACTGTTCGTAAAATTTCAGGTAAATATTGCCCTTTGAAATTTGATCAAGAATGAAATTTGTCTAGAAAACTAACACAAAAGCATCCCACTTTAACTGATGCAATTTCAATAAGGGTTTTCTGAAAACACTCCATTTCTTTTCTCCCTGTGTAGCCCTGGCTGACCTTGAACCCAGAGGCCCACCTGTCTCCCAAGTGTTAAGATCAACACGCGCAGACACACACCTGGCATGTTCCATAGATCAACTTTGCAGTTCTCAAACAGGACCGTGTATCAGCATAAAGTAAGTACACAATATAAAAGCAAAATGAAGTGCTCTTGGAAGTAAAAATTGGATAGTGTGGACAAGTTGAAGACAGCTCAGGGATTCTCAAGACTCTAAGTACATCTTTAGCTCACTTTACATCTTGATTAAGCGAGAGGATGAAAAGATGTCAAACAAAATTGTAGTCTGTAAGCAAACACTTGGGATGGTTACTCTTGTCAAGGTGATTCCATTTAGAATCACCAGAGACACACATCTCTGGTGTTAGATTTTACAATTCCCATAGATACACACCGCTGGGCATGTCTGTGAGGACACTTCCAGGAAGGTTTAACTGGAGAGAAGACACCCCAAGTTTGGACTGCACCATTCATGGAGTGGGGTCACACATCGAATATAAAGGCAAATTCAAGTTGAGCATCCATTGCTGTTTTCAGACTGCAAATGCAATGTGACCAGCTGCCTCATGTTCCCGCCGAACTCCCTTCCAGGCCCTGATGGGCTGAACCTTACATTGTGAGTCAGAATCAACCCACTTCCTGATGTTGCTTTTACCACGTTTTGTCACAGTAATAGGAAGAGTATGAACATATTCTACACAGCTTTCCATGTAGGTGTGAACAAGGCTGGTCTCAGAAGTCAGTCATCTTCCTGCCTCAGCCTACCGAGGTTGAACTATCACACCTGCTTCAGATTACTTTTTATCTACCCACCATGCAACACAAATTAGTTAAAAAAAGAAGAAAATATAGGAAGAGGTAAACATTAAAAATCGATAAACATTAAAAATCTTTGGAGGAAACTTAAGGTATTCAAAAGGATCAATCAAGTGTTAATATTTCATATTACCAATGAACTGAGATTTAGGGGGAACTGGCTTGGTGTCCTATTGGATGGAGTAAATTGGATTTTCTTAAGTCTTTGACATAGGTTAAGATTATCAGTCTTAAAAAGTTTTTTCCCCTAAATATCTCCTTTCCTTTGGTAAACCAGTAAGCATTTTTCCCTAATGCACACAATGCAAAAAAAGAATACAGACTTAGTTGAATATCTGTTTAAGTGGCATATATTATTTGGATATGGGTATATTAAAATATTTAATGGCTCAAAAGTTTTCATGATATTATGTCAAGTTTTAAAAACTAGACCACAAAACCACAATTCCTGTTTATAGTATGTAACAATTTTTGGTTACTAAAATTCATAATCAAATGTGATTTTCAAAACTTAATCATGTATTGTCAAAATAGGCCACTTCCAAGGACAGAACACCAACAAACACAGCATCTACTGAGATGAAAGCAGAGCACACTACAGGAAAGAAACTTTTTGAAAAAAGTAATGAAATATAACTTTTATACAGGCTCCAAAGCCACAGAGAAACCCTGTCTCGAAAAACAAAAACAAACAAACAAAAAAAACCAAAAAAACAAACTTTTATACAAAGTAATTTGTACACAACGTAATTTTGAATCCAGTTTACTTTACCGTTATCCTGGCTTTGAGAATTGTGTCTAACAGTTCTTGGGGGGACACATTCTTACTAGGATCATGATATAGACTACTAGGGGTAAAGCAGCTTTATTGAAAGCTATATCAAACTTGATGTAATGTCTTCTAGTTAGTTCACACAGCCTAAAAAGAACAGCTAGTATATTTATTTTAAACTGTGCTGCACATTCTACATGGGTGGTTTCTCTATTAGTATAACCACAATGTAGCATGATAAATGAATATTTTGTCACCAGAAAATTTAGCCACATTAAAAATTTGTTTACCATGTATGTATGTACTCATGTGCTTCACTGTGTATGCTTGGTACTTTAGGAGGCTAGGAAGAGGGCATCAGATCCCCTGGAAGTTGAGTTGTCCATGGTTGTGGGCCTCTGAGTGGATGCAAAGGACCATACTTGGGTCCTTCTGCAAGAGCATCAAGTGCCATCTCTCCAGCTCCAACTAGCCACATTTTTAAAATGAAAGTACAAAATTAAAAATCATACATAAAAATGTTCCAACAGTCAAATCTGGAAGTGGAGGTTGCCCAAGGTTGGAGTTCCCAAGGGTGTACTGGGTTAAATAGTGCTCCTCACAAAAGTTATGTCTACCTAGAACTACAGAATGTGTTTTCACTTGGAAACAGAATCTTTGCAGATGCAAGTAGTTTAAGTACCATTTTATGTGTCAGCGCACACCCTTAGTCCCAGCAGTTGGTGAGCAGAGACAGGTGGGTATCTTGATTTCAGGGCAGCTAGGGATGGCACAAAGGTTAAGGGGACTAGCTGCTTATTCTAGAGAACCTGGGTTCAATTCCCAGAATTCACATGGTAGCTCACAACTGTCTAAAACTCCAGTTTCAGGGGATTTGACCCTTTTTCTGACCTCTGGGGCCACCAGGCACACACATACAGACAAAACATTCATACACCTAAGTAAAAAAACTAATAGAGCCCAAATTATTGCTGGGTTTATAAAAGAACTATATGAAGATAGTTACACAAGAGAAGAAAAACAGCCAGGAGAAGACCAAGATAGAAGTCTGTGCAATGCAGTTATAGGTTAAGAAACAAATACCAAGGACTGCTGGCAACCAGCAGCAGAGAGGAGAGGGCATGGGGGTTTTGCCCAATCCCTCGAAAGCCAGATTTGGGATATGCGGCCTCCTAAATGGTGAGAATACATTTATTTTAATCCATTAAATATGTGGTAGTTTGCAGAAGTCTAGAGAGCTAACACATGAGAAACAGAGTGATTACTAGTACGTACAGAGTTTCTTTTGGAGGGATAATGAAAATATTGTAAAAATTTGAGGATTGCACATACTGAATACAGCCACTAAAATGGTACAGTTTAAATGGGTGAACTATATGCCCATGGATTACATCTCAATAGCTGTCTACACATCAAAACTCAACAGATAAATCTGTCATATTTTTCAAATTCATTTTTAATTTTAACATTTTAGTCCATTATAACCTCCATATAGAGAAAAATTAAAAATGAAAGCACTTTCACAAATTTAAAAAATATTATTGAACATACTTAGAATGAAGAGTAAATCTATTTTAAGTTAAAAATATTTAATATCAGATAAAAACATTAATGATTGACAGTTTTACATGGCACATTTCATACATAGTCAGGGTAAAACACTGGGGAAAATTTAATAAGTGGTTTGGCAATTTGTTGTTCACATAAAAGCAATGAAGAGTGTGACATATTTAAAGCCAATTATTACAAACTTTTAGAGAAAACGCAGTTATCTCTGACATGTTTTGCTGGGAGAAAACAATATCTTTTAATCCACACGATACTTGGCTACAGTTATCAATGCTTTTCTAGTGATCTAGACATTCTTCAGACAGCTTTTCTTCTGTTGGCTAACCACTTATTCTGATTGGCTCTCACAGTAAGGACTGAGGGTACAGAGCACTTTTTACATTGCTGAGTAAACTATAAATTAATGATGAGTACTAAGCTTAATAGTTTACATGAAAATATGGAATATTTCATTCAATTGGACTGAATATATTTCACAAATTGGGTATAGTGTTAAATCCTCAAATGTATAAAGTTTTGTGAGAAAATGTGTATGCCTTGAGCTACTCTTGCTTGCTTTAAAATGGAATAGTTTGGCACTAAATAAAATAAATGAAGACAAGCAAAATACATAGTGCTAGATACAGTTACTCTATCAGAGTTTACCATCTTGAATTACAATCCATACTACTACTAAGTTCTTGACCAAACAGAAACAAACAAACAGACCTAACTACACAGTACTTACACAATATGAAAATAGAATCTAAAGCTAAGCTGGGTGACTTCTCTGATGAGCATACCCCTTCTGCCAGAATTAGTTAGATATTTGAAATTCATATTTTCAAGAAATGCTTAAACTTTCCAAGTTTTCTGGCTGATAGGTTTTTGATTACACGGCCAGCTAAAATATGGTCTTTGAATTAAGTAAAGAGATCCAAATAAAATAAACTATTATTTTATTGGATCTTATTTATCAAAATACCAGACCAGAACTTCATAACCAAATTACTGGAACAAACCACGGATGGCCAGATTTCTGAGTCTCAGATGAGTCGGGAGCCCACTCATCACTCATGTTTCAAGGGTCTCTTCATTTGCTCCACAAGTGTCAACAACGCAAATTAGACAACTTGTGACTGGGAAAGCACGGACTTTGGAGTTGGCAATCCATTTGTCTGTTTCAGTGTTGTACTCAAGGATATGTCCTAATCTACCTACGCCTTGAAACCCTGCCAACACATAGATGATAGAGCCGACTGCTGCGCACTTCACAGTCACACCTCTCCATGGCATCGGCGACACCATCTTCCATTCATTTAATTTAATATCGTAGTATT